AAAGTAAATCCAAGATGGTTGAGGATCCACGATTACATTTGAGAACACAATGTGAACAAATATATTACGCACACAAGGACGAAAGGTAAGCATCAGGTCCCAAATTAAATGGAACGTCAATTTACTAAAAATAATCTAACAGGTCTATATCAACATATTTTGTAAGGCACGTACCACGCTGATCATTTTTTGGGCACGGAAATTGCTATAAACGCCATTGTCTCTACCACCTTGAGTAGTACATAAATCGCAGAGCAAGTCTACCATTTCAGTATATCTGCTCATCATCATATCCTTTACCAAAATCCAGCTTGCTTCTACCACGCTAGCTAGCTACCCATGGAGATCCTAAACCTGCAGCTATGGAAGTATATGTGCTTGGGCTTGATCCTCATGTTGGGAGCTTGGTCTTCTCAAGCCACTTCTCGCAGTCTGAAAGATGCATCAATGTACGGGAGATACGAGCAATGGTTGGCTCGTTATGGTCGCGTATATAACGACATCAATGAGATGGAAACTCGTTTCAAGATATTCAAGGAAAATGTGGCGTTTATAGAATTTTCTAATAAAGATGCAAACAAACCTTACAAATTAAGCGTCAATCAATTTGCAGACCTTACAAATGAAGAGTTCAAAGCCTCAAGAAATGGATTCAAGGGCCATGAATGTTCCACGAAGACGACTTCTTTCAAATATGAAAATGTGACTGCTGCTTTGCCAGCAACAATGGACTGGAGAAAGAAGGGAGCTGTAACCCCCATTAAGGACCAAGGCCAATGTGGTAAGTACATAAACGTCTAGCTTCCTGCCATTAATTTAGAGAGACGCTATATATATTCATCTTTAATATACTCCTAATCTAACTACTTTTGATTCAAATCGAAATACAGGATGTTGTTGGGCTTTTTCAGCAGTTGCCGCCACCGAAGGTGTTACACAGCTTACAACTGGTAAATTGATCTCTTTGTCTGAGCAAGAGCTCGTTGATTGTGACACCGCTGGTGAAGACCAAGGTTGTGAGGGTGGCTTAATGGACGATGCATTTCAGTTCATCCAACAAAATCACGGTATTAGCACAGAAACTAATTACCCCTACAACGGTGTTGATGGTACATGTAACACCAAGAAGGAAGCCATCATTGCAGCCAAGATAACTGGCTTTGAGGATGTGCCGGCAAATAGTGAAAAGGCGCTTCTAACCGCTGTTGCTCATCAACCTGTTTCCGTTGCCATCGATGCTAGCGGTTCCGACTTCCAATTCTATTCAAGTGGTGTCTTCACCGGAACTTGTGGAACGAGTCTTGACCATGGTGTTACCGCTGTTGGATATGGCGTGAGTGAGGATGGGACTAAGTATTGGCTAGTGAAGAACTCATGGGGTGCAGAATGGGGCGAAGCTGGGTACATAAGAATGCAAAGAGATGTTGCTGCAGCTGAAGGACTTTGTGGGATTGCTATGTCTGCCTCTTACCCCACAGCTTAGTTAATTAAATCAATGCCTACTAGCTATATGCCTTGTAGGTAGTGTGATATGTATCTACCTGTATGTGTAAAATATTTATAAGATAATCAAGATAATTGTTGGGCATTTCTCATCTAAATTTAATAGACTCGCTTTCTTGGTCATCTGATGTCCAAGAATTCATGATCGCACATTATTAGATTTGATATGAAAGATTAAAAACCAAAATCACACATTTATTCTCCATCTTAGTCACCCGATGACCAAAGAACCTATGGTCCAAGTTCACATTGGCCTCCCACTAATAAAAAAATTGCAATCAAACATTTATATATTCATGCAGCTATTGGGCTTTTGCAGCAGCGAGAGCCGTTGAAGGAATTACTCGGCTTACAAATGGTCAATTAAACTTTGTCCGAGCAACAAGTGGTTGATTGTGATACCCGCGCTGAAGACCAAGGTTGTGGTGGTGGCTACCTTGACGGCGCCTTTGAATTCATCAATCAAAACCATGTGATTAGCTCCGCAAGGACTGCAACGCCGGTGTTAGACGGTACATGGAACACCAAAGGCCCTCATACATCCAATATAACTGGCTATGAAGACGTGCCGATAAGCGATGAGAAGGCCCTATAAGACTCATGTTGAGTTGTCAATTATTATGAATCAAATTACTTAAAAGGCAAATAACTTGATGTTCAAGATATTTGACTTTTATCGTAATTCAATATTGGTTAGTAAGAATCATGGAATCAAGATATATTAGTTGACTAATTGAAACCCTAATTAAGTAAGACATATTGTAAATGCCTTGGTGGGACACCATTAAGATTAAAGGGTGATTTGGTGTAATCTCCAATTACTATAACCGGCGAGATTGGAGGAGCCCTAATCACCAGAATAAGGGTGTCCCTGATTCCACAACACACACATTTGATTCCGTGCAAACCTTATTATTGTTAAAGCTAGGGCTGGGTTCGATTGGCAAACCGTGCCAAATTCCTTGTGTCACCTACCAGCCACATATACATAATTACCAAAAATCAATTATCGCTAGCCAACCATCTTTTTGCGGTTGTCAAAAATTGGTTCAGCCAAAATTATTGGCTGGTTCGGTTGGTAAATGGCACAACCGATTGTTTCCACTTCTTCCTTGCTATCTTCAAGTTCCAAGGGCTCAATTTGATTTTCAGATTGGGGTGTTTGTTCGGGTGCATTGTGTGGTTCATTTTGGGTTAATCGATGTTGTGCACTAGCGGTTGATTGGCTAGACTCCATCATCCTAAACATAAGCAACGTATATACATTCAAAATCATATATATGTGTACGTGTATATATAGTATAAGTAATCATCATGTTATCAATTTTGTTAACAATATTTTCTATAATTATTATGGCATGAATCATATACATATACATATACATATATTTTTTAAACCCTAAAACTAAGAAGTCATTTATTTTCTAAACCCTAAAACTGAGTAGTCAAGCATGTAAAAAATACCTAAAATACCTAAAATATCTAAATAGAATATATAATATATATATATATATATATATATATATATATATTGGTAGGTATGGCATACTGCCAACATACAAAATCAATTACCAAAGTCAAGCCATTAATTGTCAGTTCGGTAAAATGCCAACCGATTATGAAAAAAATGTCAAAACTATACCATACCATTATGAGCCGACCGGTATGGTTTGGTTGGTAAATCGGTTTATGCTAAAATTTCCCACCCCTAGCTAAAACACTTCCGCTTGTTGAAAGTAGAAGACTCTTTTGTCATTCGCAAGAGTCATGTCTTCTGTATGCCAAAGATATGTAAATTGTAATTAATTTATTGTAATTTTAGTTTATCAAATCCATAATCCTAATGTCTTGTTGTTTTTCTTATGATTTCAGAAATTTCTTACAAATCCTTCTCAAGGCTTGCTAATCTACCTATTTCTGTTTGGGGTGTGCTATATACACACCCCTTTTTACTTCTCCCACACCTCTTGTTAATTTTTGTCATTTGATCTTCTTCAATTCATCTGATCCGACGGTCAACAATTAAAAGGGTGTGAGAGAAGTAAAAAGGGTGTGTGGATATCACACCCCTTTCTATTTTCATTGGAGAAGTTATCATGTTAGTCCTATAATAGTGGTAATTAAAGGGATATGTGGACTATCCATCGACCAATGTGTTTCCGCTATTAGTCAAGGGATAGGTGTTGATGGAGAACATACATGGCAAAAGTATACCGCAAGTGGTGTTTTCTCAATGAAATAAGAATACGTGCAACTCTGGCGCAAGTGGTGTTTTCGCTTTTAGTTGCTCTGACGCAACTTTGGTCGCACAAAGTATGCATCAACAGTCACAGAAATGTCAACTGTAGGTCTGAGTTTAGCGCATACTTTGGGATTAGGATTCTCTCCCTTTTTCTTTCCATCTCCTTTCTTCTCCTTCTCTCACATTTTTTATTTTGTCTTTCTCTTTCTATAAAAAATTAATATAAGATGTTGAAGTGGCTTAACTGTAACCGTTCAAATAGGAGGAGAAGGAAAAAAAGAGGGAAGAGAATCCTACTCCCTTGGTTGATGGGTGCATCATTCTCCACATAAATTAAGGCTTGCTGAGTAAGGATGTAATCAAATCGTGGAGACCATTTCCTTGATCCCAACCAAGTTGTTGTTGAAAAGTTATCAGCCATGAAAGAAACTCCCCGTGCATGCATTAAAGGATTCAAAGAATCCACAGACTCAATAACACTTTCATTAATGATCTCCGAACATGAATGTTCTTTTTTAGGGTAATGCTAGGGAAACAAAAAAATTTAAACCAAATTTACAAATCAAATGATGTGTCACCAATAGGAAATAAGCAAGTTAATCAATGCTTAAATAATAATCCAATCATTAACAATCAAATCATTTGGTTTGCAAATTTGGTTTAAAGAATTTGGTCCTCCTAGTATTATCTCCTTTCTAAACATGTGACCTGATAATGAGCCGATTAGTTAATGCTTTGACAATCAGTTATTTTCGTGTCGTTTCGGATTGGGTTAACAGGTCGTGTAAGAAATTATCCGGTCTATCAGAGACTCTCAAAAGTGAGACTATTCATGGACTCTCTAGAAACTTTTTATTTCAATTTTTGGTTTTTAGTTGAAAATTGTATGCAGTTACCATATAAGATTATTTCAAATAAATAAAAACAGAAGTAAAGACAAAATAATGATTATCAAACCATCCTTAAATAAAGTAAATCCAAGATGGTTGAGGATCTACGATTACATTTGAGAACACAATGTGAACAAATATATTACGCACACAAGGACAAAAGGTAAGCATCAGGTCCCAAATTAAATGGAAGGTCAATTTACTAAAAATAATCTAACAGGTCTATATCAACATATTTTGTAAGGCACGTACCACGCTGATCATTTTTTGGGGCACCGAAATTGCTATAAACGCCATTCTCTCTACCACCTTGAGTAGTATAAATCGCAGAGCAAGTCTACCATTTCAGTATATCTGCTCATCATCATATCCTTTACCAAAATCCAGCTTGCTCCTACCACGCTAGCTAGCTACCCATGGAGATCCTAAACCTGCAGCTATGGAAGTATATGTGCTTGGGCTTGATCCTCATGTTGGGAGCTTGGTCTTCTCAAGCCACTTCTCGCAGTCTGAAGGATACATCAATGTACGGGAGATACGAGCAATGGTTGGCTCGTTATGGTCGCGTATATAACGACATCAATGAGATGGAAACTCGTTTCAAGATATTCAAGGAAAATGTGGCGTTTATAGAATTTTCTAATAAAGATGCAAACAAACCTTACAAATTAAGCGTCAATCAATTTGCAGACCTTACAAATGAAGAGTTCAAAACCTCAAGAAATGGATTCAAGGGCCATGAATGTTCCACGAAGACGACTTCTTTCAAATATGAAAATGTGACTGCTGCTTTGCCAGCAACAATGGACTGGAGAAAGAAAGGAGCTGTAACCCCCGTTAAGGACCAAGGCCAATGTGGTAAGTACATAAACGTCTAGCTTCCTGCCATTAATTTAGAGAGACGCTATATATATTCATCTTTAATATACTCCTAATCTACTACTTTTGATTCAAATCGAAATACAGGATGCTGTTGGGCTTTTTCAGCAGTTGCCGCCACCGAAGGTGTTACACAGCTTACAACTGGTAAATTGATCTCTTTGTCTGAGCAAGAGCTCGTTGATTGTGACACCGCTGGTGAAGACCAAGGTTGTGAGGGTGGCTTAATGGACGATGCGTTTCAGTTCATCCAACAAAATCACGGGATTAGCACAGAAACTAATTACCCCTACAACGGTGTTGATGGTACATGTAACACCAAGAAGGAAGCCATCATTGCAGCCAAGATAACTGGCTTTGAGGATGTGCCTGCAAATAGTGAAAAGGCCCTTCTAACCGCTGTTGCTCATCAACCTGTTTCCGTTGCCATCGATGCTAGCGGTTCCGACTTCCAATTCTATTCAAGTGGTGTCTTCACTGGAACTTGTGGAACGAGTCTTGACCATGGTGTTACCGCTGTTGGATATGGCGTGAGCGAGGATGGGACTAAGTATTGGCTAGTGAAGAACTCATGGGGTGCAGAATGGGGCGAAGCTGGGTACATAAGAATGCAAAGAGATGTTGCCGCACCTGAAGGACTTTGTGGGATTGCTATGTCTGCCTCTTACCCCACAGCTTAGTTAATTAAATCAATGCCTACTAGGTGTTTTCCTTGTAAGTAGTCTGATATGTGTAAAATATTTATAAGATAATTATTGGGTATTTCTCATCTTAACTTAATACTCGCTCCCTTGGTGATCTGGTTTTCAAGAATTCATGATCACACTCTTAGATTTATTAAAGATTAAAATTAAACACCCAAAGACCACATTTGTTCTCCATCTTGGTCACCCGGTGACCGAAAGAACATATGATCCAAGTTGGGATTGCCCTCCCACTAATCAAAAGAATTGCTTTCAAACATCCATTCAGGCAGCTGTTGGGCTTTTGCAGCAGCGGGAGCCGTAGAAGGAATTATTCAGGTTACAAATGGTGAATTAAACTTTGTCCGAGCAACAACTGGTTGATTGTGATACCGGCGGTGAAGACCTAGGTTGTGGCGGTGGCTACCTTGACGGTGCATGCTTTTGAGTTAATCAATCAAAACCATGAGAATAGCTCCGCCACACCGGTGTTAGACGGTACAAGCAACACCCAGGCCCATCACACAACCAATATAACTGGCCATGAAGGCTTGTTAATCTACCTGTTTCTGTTTACATTGATGTTGGAGGAGAATATTTCACGTCAGTCCTATAAAACTGGTCGTTACAGGGGTATGTGGACTATACATCGACCAATGATTTTCCACCGTTGGTCAAGGGATAAGTGACGATGAAGATCTTACATGGCAGGTAAACTGTGACGTGATGTCCCGTGTCAATGAAATAAAGACATGTTATTGGCGCAGGACGCCACTAGGACAACATGCCAGTGCCGTATACGCCCTATATTATCGTGTCTTGGATTGTATCCACAAAAGAAGCACCAATTTAAGAAATGCAAAAATTGAAAACTACATCCGTAAACCAATAACCAGACCTTCTAAGGAACCACCATCCGCAGTAACATTATTAATATTTTAACTACTTAGTACTACCACAAAATCATAACACAACATTCAGCGTTAAACACAACTTGCAATGTGATGTACACATGATCAGTAAAAACAGAATAAACTAGGACAAACTACAGCACACCTTAAATATGGAGCCAAACGGAATTCATAGGCCAGCTCACAGGCAGTAGGTTCGTCGAGTTTTAGTTGCTCTGTCGCAACTCTGGTCGCACAAAATCTGCATCAGCAGTCACTGAAATGTCAACTGTAGGTCTCAGTTCAGCGCATACTTTGATGGCTCCATGCACTGGATCTGACATGAAGTTGCTGATGAGGTCTCGGTTGATGGGTGCACCATTGTCCACGGAAACTAGGGCCTGCTGAGTAAGGATGTAATCAAATCGTGGAGCCCATTTCCTTGATCCCAACCGAGCTGTTGTTGAACAGTTATCAACCATGAAAGAAACTCCCCGTGCATGCATAAAAGGATTCAAAGAATCCACCGACTCAATAACACTTTCATTAATGATCTCTGAATATGAATGTCCTTTCTTCCTCAATACTTCGATCTGAAAATTCATAAAAGCAATTCAAATCAAATGCAGAAGAAATTATCCCCAGTTACTGACAAAATCATTTATTTCTATTACGACAAAGATAAAATAACATCACCGCATTTATGTTCCAAGGATCTGAAGGTTCAATTGATAGAAAGAAACCTATATTTGCATTACGAAACAATACGTGTGTTCATTGTTTAGTTGATGACCTAAAATATATATTTGAAGTAGATGTTTCATGATTTTGACTAGATACATTGACAGAAAAATAACCCTTTACAAAATCCACATTCTTAACTATAGGTCTAAACCTGATATGCATCTTAGTCTGAGAAAAGTAAAAACATCAAAATATTTTCATATACCAATCTTTTGTTGCCAATATTTTAATATTTTTTAGGCACGCACTTGCTATTCGGACTAGTACACTCTGAGATCAGAACAAAAGGAAAAATTCCATTCATGTGTAAGCAACTCGGAACAATTGCTTGTTGGAAGCTAATTTCTTCTTTTGCAATATCACATTCTCACCCAATCTAAAGGGTTAGGCTCGTACCTGCGCCATCATTAAGGCAACAAAAACACCTGCAGTGAAAGGGTGTAACGGGCCTAGATCACCAGCTGGCCTTGTTGATCTGACACGCTCACCGACTTTCCACATGCGGGTCTGATCAATTTTACCCATTGGGAATGCAGGCAGACCCTCCTTCTCCTGTAACAAAGGTATGTTCATTATCAATTGCATGACATTAATATTCGTTTACTTAAAAGTATTCAAAGAACTATGACTCTGAGAATCATGTACTTCTAAACAACAATAATCAAAATTTGGGCCTTCAACAATTGAAAACAGATGGAGAACATACATAAAAGCGACGACCGGCCAAGACAACACTGCGGATCTCGCTGCCACTGGCAACATCTTCATAGCATTCATACAGGATGTCCATGCATGGATAAAATGAGGCGCTATATGCAGCCTCAAATTCCTTTTTGCCATCTTCAGACAAAGAGTTGTAAATCTCTAACATTCCCTGTTGGGAAAAATAATAAAAACAATAACCACTTGTTCTTAAATTGACATACAAGCACAGACGTGCAAGGAACACACAGATGTAAACTACAAATAATGAAATTCATGTGTGGACAGTACCTTAGTTGAGATGGTCCTTGACACAATTCCAGTTATACATTCAACAGTGTTTTTATAAGCCAAATCCTCACTCATTCCATTTTCAGTGTACCTTCTAAACAGGGACTCCACAATTCCATGAACAGCACCAAGTAATATGCCTACAAAGCAGAGAAGAAGAGGTGACATATCAACTTTACTGGATTCAAAGCATAAGCAAAGAAAAGAGAAAGAAAGTTACGATGTAGCAAATAAAACATACCTCGTTCACCAAAGATGTCACTTTTGTATTCCTGCTCTAGTGTAGTGGCAAATGTGAAAGGAGAACCAAGGGCAACTGACCAGCCCAGGGCCACATCTGTGGCTCTACCATCAACATCCTGTACAAACACAGCACATTTAGTATCCAGGATATTGGGCCAGAAAATATGTAGTCAGAGAGAGAGAAAGAGAGAGAGCTGACCTGGTGGACTGCAAAACTGGAATTAATTCCGGCACCATTTATCTCTTTGCCTTGGACATAAAGTCTCCTTACAGATGGACCCATCCCCTTGGGACATACAGCAATTACACTGAAGTTCTTGGGAAAGTCAAGTCCCACTGACTGCAAATGCCCTAGAAGAAAACCATGGGAAAGACCAAGTATACTATTTGGTTTCATGTGTGAAAATATTTTCTCATAATTATCGGCCTGCAACATGAGACAAAGTTAAATCCTTTCAGAAAGATGCTTCTTAGGGTAGCCAGAAAACAGGCCCGTTCACCCACACACTCACGACTTCATTCCATTAGAGATTACTTTCTGTAATATGGCCTGATTCTCAACAAAGTGAAACTTCACCAAGCAAACGTTACTTAGGTTAGCATGGCAGCAAATAATTTCCGACCAGCAAAACAAAATCATGCATAATTATGAAGATATTCATGAGATGACAATTACATGCAGATAGCCTAATACCACTCTGGTTTAATGCTAACAAATGACTTGTTACGAACTCACATGGTAGAGAACTTAAAAAACACTTGATTATTAACACCATCATTCAACAACTTTCAGCACATATAGTTCACAATATTATATCAAAGAAAAAACAAAACAATATAGTAATCGGATTATCAGTACTTCAGTCTTTATGTTTATTTTCCAAAGTGACTTGTTAGTAAGTACGAAAAGTCAGTATCCAGGGATAAGAAGATAAGAGATGGTTGAAAATGATAAATGGATTAGCAGACCCAAAATCATTTTAGCAGAAATAGAAGTGCCGCTGCAACTACAAGTTACAGCCAATAATAGCAGAAAAACAATAACCAAAATTGCAATCGACAGACCTGTGCAGAATCAGAGATTAGTAGCAACACGAGATTACTGCCTGAGATTGTTTCCCATATATCCCCCAAAGTCCCATTCTCCTCGGTGAAACCAGCTGCACGAGCTTCAGCAAAAGAATGAGAACCCTTCCTGAGTCCAATCTGTAAAGTCACAACAAATTGAATTAGTTAACAGCAAGACATTGAAAAATAAGTCAGTAACCATATCTTTTTTTCATATGAAATATATTTTTAGTGTAAACAGAAAAGCATTTACCTTGACAACAATGTCAGACTTTGCTTCAACTAGAGAATCTCTTAGATTCTGAGCTTGAGCAGGTCCCTGAGGAAAAGATAGGTTAAAGACCCAAATAACATATAGTGACTGAGACAGAAAAACAATATACATTCACATTCTACAACAGTAAAAAAAGCACAGAAAAGAATTACGATACGTAACCACCCCCTCTCAATTCATACTGGATTACCATAACAAATCTATTGGCTTAGAGAACAACCGTATGGATACAGAAACGGAGAGAAAACCTAAGAACCAATGCAGACCCAAATACTAATCATGGTATTAAATAAATCAACCATTTAACAAATAGATAAAATATATGAGAGAAAATTCATTCACCTGAGAACCCCAACCGATAACACCAATCTGCTTAATACCCTTGAAAGCATCGGGCAGCAAATGGAACAGATCCCTTCCTCCTCTCACAATATACTGCAGTCAGCATCAAACCCACCACACACAATCAATAAAAAATTCCAAATGGAAATCTTTCTCAATCATTATCAGCAACATGCATACAGTTACAACAAATAAATACAGTTTACATGTAATCGCACAAATCGGCGGAAAATCACTTAACATTTTGGCCTCCTTTTCCATTCCAACCATTCGTTTGTTTGTTTGTTTGTTAATGATGAGTACAGAGAATATGCACAAAAGCTATCAGGCAGTATAAAAAGCTTCCCTTTCTTTTCCCCAACCCATTTATTCAAATCCAAGCAAAACCTATCAACTCAATTTGTAAATTAACTAAGCAATATCATAAATGTGTTAGTACAAATAGACAGATAGTGAGAGCGAGAGGGAGAGCGACCTCGTTGTGACCAGCGAGGTTGATCTTCTCCTTGGTGAAAACAGAGGTATCGAAATCGAGAGGAGGGGGCTTAATGGACGGCATTGACACCATGCCGTGGTGGGATGAGGGCAATAATTTTGATTATTGATTGCTTGAACTCCAACTGTCGATCAAACTCCAAATTCAATTGATTGAATGGAAGGGGAGGAAAAACCTGGAGAAGATTAGTAACCTAGAGTTAGAAAAACGTGGTGGGGACAATAATTGCTTTGCGGATGAGTTTTGTG